ACTTAAAGCCAGAAATCAAGCGGTGTACCAGCGAGGATGCTAGACCTCCAAGAGAGGTGGATTGTGAGGTCCCAAATTGGTTGGAGAGGGGAACTAAACATTCCTTATAAGGGTGTGGAAACCTCTCTCTAGTAGCCGCGTTTTAAAATCGTGAAACTAACAATAGTACATAACGGGACAATATCGGTTAACAGTGGGCATGAGCTGTTACAAATGGTATTAGAGCTAGACACCGAGCAGTGTACCAACGAGGACGTTGGGTCCTCAAGAAGGGATGGATTATGAGATCCCAAATTGGTTGAACAGGGAAACGAAACATTCCTCACAAGAGTGTGAAAACTTCTCCCTAGTAGATGCGTTTTAAAACCGTGAGACTGATACGTAATGGGTCAATAACTGTTAGCAGTGGGCATGAACAGTTACAAATGGAATCAAAGCCGAACACCGAGCAATGTGCCAGCGAAGATTCTGGCCCCCCAAGGGGGGTAAATTGTGAGATCCCACATTGGGCGGAGAGGAAACCAAATCCTTTCTTATAAAAGTGTGGAAACCTCTCCCTAATAGACTCATTTTAAAACCGTAAGACTGACAACGATACGTAACAAGACAGTATCTATTAGTGGTAGGCATGAACTATCACAAATAGCAGACACTGAGCGACATGCAAGTGAGGACACAACAGTTCATGACGTTATTAAAATGGATATCAATATGAAGAGAATGTGACAGGAAGGGTAGCCCAATTGGAGAAAAGAGTATTAAATTCAAGTTGTTTGATTGGTGGTTGAAGAAGAAGCAAAGGTACAGAGAGCATTGATGAAAGCCTCCAGAGAGTAGCTGATAAGCAATTCCACACAATTCAATGGTTTTTTCATTACAAATTGTTTGAACAACAAGTGGTGAACTATTAAACTGTGTGCGAATGCGTATAAACAAGAGTGGTTTTTGTTGTGAGCTGTGGGCAATGTGATATAAATATTCTATACATTTATTCACAACAAACCTTCAACTTGCTAATACTATACCCTACTTGAAGATCTTTACGAGATCTCTATCTCGTTTTCGTTTAAGTATTTTGAGTTACGGAGCTCCGCTCGATTTGGCGATTATAGTTATTGTGATGCATTGAGGTTCGAGTAAAGAATGGGAACAGTGATGAATCGAGACCACATCTGAATGAGAATGATCACGATGATATGAGACTGTAACTGAATGAAAGTGATTACGATGATATGAAACTATGGTTATAGTTATTGTTATGTGAGATCCCACATCGGTTGGAGAGGGGAACGACACGTTTCTTATAAAAGTGTGAAAACTTGTCCCTAGTAGACGCGTTTTAAAATCGTGAGGTTGACGGCAATACGTAACGGGGCAAAGTGGACAATATCTGCTATCGATGGGCTTGAGTTATTTACAAATGGTATCAGAGTCAAGACCAGACAGTGTGCTAACGACAAAGGTGGGTGGATTGTGAGATCTCATATCGATTGGAGAGGGGAACAAAACATTTCTTATAAAAATGTTTGCTAGGGCCAAAACAGTATCAGAGCAAGACACTAGGTAGTGTGTCAGCAAGGACATTATTTACTAGTGCTATTATTTGTGAGATCTCATATGTAACGGGCCAAAACGGATATTATTTGCTAGCGTTGAGCTTGAGCTGTTACAAATGTTATCAGAGCAAGACACTAGGTAGTGTGTCAGCAAGGACACTAGCTCGTAAGGGGGTAGATTGTAAGATCCAACGTCGGTTGGAGAGGGGAACGAAACATTCCTTATAAAGGTGTGAAAACCTCTTCCTAGTAGATGCGTTTTAAAACCGTGAAGTTGAAGTGATATGTAACGGGCCAAAGTAGACAATTTCTGCTAGCGGTGGGCTTGAGCTGTTACATATACTCTAGTAAAGAATAAGTACGTGGATGAACTGAGACTATATCTGAATGAGAGTGATCACGAGAATATGAAACTATGGTTATAGTTATTGTGGTTCTCGAGTAAAGAACAGGTACATTAATGAACTAATTCGATAGCTATAGGGAACTCCAAAATTATGTATGTTTGGCTTAAGAGCAATTCATATTTCAAATCTTATACACGAGGTGTAACAGCCCAAGTCCATCGCTAGCTGATATTGTCCGCTTTGACCCGTTATGTATCGTCATCAGCCTCACGGTTTTAAAACCGTCTGTTCGAGAGAGGTTTTCACACTTTATAAAAAATGTTTCGTTCCTCCTTCCGACCGATGTGGGATCTCACACGAGGTGTTTTTACAGTAACAATTATTAAACTATTGTTTCTAGTTCTTTTTGGATATGTAATTTCAACGGGTACTAGTTTAATGTTACGGTCAGGCATGTTCGGTATGATCTAACCTAATGTTTGGTACAAGATTTATATTTAAGTCTCGTCCTCAAGAATCATCAATTCTACAAAATTTATTGTCTTAAGAAACCCGTTCTTAATTAATGTGTACTTGGTCAACTTTTTAAAGTACTTTTAACAAAAAAAAAAAATTATTATCCGTTTTGGCCCGTTATGCATCGTTGTCATCCTCACAGTTTTAAAACGCGTTTAGCTGACAACGATACTAACGGGCAAAGCGGATAATACCTATTGATGGTGGACTTGGGTTGTTACAAATGGTATCAAAGTCAAACAACGGACAGTGTCTCAGCGTCTGCTGTGTTTTAGAACTATGAGACTGACGACGATACGTAACGGGAGCTTAAACAAATAATATATGCTAGCAGTTATGAAATTACTATTAATAAATTTTTAATTTCAATTTAAAAAACGATTTTATACCAATGACTTTTCACGTCAATTATTATAATAAGTAAAATGTTTTTTTAAGCAACGTAAAATTACTATTTTACCCCTGAATACACGTGACCTACAAGACTATTTTGGACTCTTAAGGCCCATTATAACCTTTTCTTATATTTGATGGGCCATGATCTCTTTATTTTTGGGCCTAGATGAATTAAAAAAAAGTGTTTTTGTAATGAATGACACGTGACACGAATGAAAATTATGACTCGAATATCACTACACCGTTCTAGGTCACTATCACATTCGAAATATCTTTACACGAACGTTATTATATCAGCTGAAAATTGTAATTTATAATGATGTATTTGTGTCATAAGTGAAAATTGTAATCTGAATAGCGCTATACCGTTCTAGGTTACTATTAGTTACAAAATTGAGATTTGTAATAATGTGTCGATGACTTGAATGAAAGTTATGACCTGAATCCGCTATACTATTCTAGGTCCTGGTCCGATCGGTTCTTTTTTTAAAAAAACATCATGATTAGCTATGAACTTAAAGTAGGGTACATTTCAATTCTTTAAATGATTTTGCTAAAAGGTGGGCATTTTTGTTTCTTTCCTATTTAACAATTATTAGGAACATTTTATAATGGGGAAACAATAGGATATGCTTATGTTCTAAAAAAAAAAAATTATGATATCGCGCAGCCCACTCTTATGTTCTATATAGCTCGGTCGGTGATCCTCTTCTTAAATCAAGGGTTGAATTCCTTTTGCAAAAAAAAGTTATGATATCGCGCAGCCCACTCTTATGTTATCGACAAATCTAAATGATGCGTCTTGTTGAAACTACTTGTTTAAAGTAAACCCTGAGTAAACAATAGGATATGCTTTTACTCTTTACTGCTCTAACTAATTTTTTTCTCGATTCTCATGTGCGAGAAATGACGAAATTTAGGATGTTCTTTTGTTTTTTTTTGTTGGATAATTTAGCCTTTAACAACGTAGAGAGGTAACAAGGAGAACGAACTTTGAAAAGATGTGAGGAATGTGTTCTTGCTGTCACATCGGCAAAGTTGGAAAGCATAAAGAAGCCCAAGATAGGACCTTGAGGTTTTGGCATGAGACTCGTTGTAACTTCAGCATGCGACTCGAGAACTAAGTCTATTAGTATGATGGATGAAAGCCCACCAAATTTACTGTCATTTGGATTCCATTTTTCGACTCGAGAACTAAATTCGTTGATATAAAAAATGAAAGCTCGTAACCAATCTGTATAGTTCAAGCTTCTTCTAGAATTAACTAAATCGTTCTCTCTCGATTTTTTGTTCTTCCCGATCAATGTTCTTCCAATGTATCATTTCTCGGTCCAATGAAATTCATAGGTATAGAATTCTGTCAAATAGAGATTTTTTCTTTCGACCATCTTTCAATTGTTAATACAATATATGAGGACCGCTACTACAAACAGTACTACACCCTTAATCGTGAAATATAGATTGCTGGTTGAACCCTTTAACTAAATCTCGATTTCTTGTTCTTCCCAATCTATGTTTTTCTTCTTTCTTTTGTGTATAATCCTGCATAATCTCGAATGTTATCAGTTCTGGTACGTAGACCAAATGATACAATGCGAGCAAAAGTTCCTAGATTCATGGCGATATAGAACAACATATAAGTTAAGTTATCATGTTTGCATATCCACCATTTGAGTCTCCAACAATTATTCCAATAATCACATATCCGATTGAACCGATGAACGAATACGCAAGCATACGTTTTAAACTTGTTTGAGTAATAACAATGAGATTCCCCAAATCATGCTAGCTAAGATTTCCAGAAGAAGATGCCATTCATTTGATAAGAAATAAAAAAATTCGAGTGGCTGAAGCAACTACTTTCGAAGTAATAGAAAGAAAAGCGAGTGGGAGAGTCGTGAGTTGAAAAGAGTATTCCTCCCTTCTTTCTCTCATTCAAAACCGTGCCTGAGACAGACATTCATCTCACACGGCTCCTAAGCTAAGTGATAAAAAGAAAGAACTAAATCGTATGTCAATAATCTGTGTAATGGTATCTAATGTAATGGTATCTAAAGAAGGCTCTTGTTCTTCCCCAACGAGGACTTGGAATGGTTAGGGTCTAAACAACCTTACCAATCATGCGACCAGTCTATATACGTTGCACAGAAACCACGTTGAACACAAACAGAATTGCAAGGAAAAATACGCAGAATCGAACTATATTTTATTGATAAGAAAATTCCATCACACGCCATCACAGAATCCATTGACAACAACACAAATAGACTAAAACACACCGACTCTTAGAAACTAAGAACAGAACATACCCCAAAAGCAAAGCATAAATCAACAGACTCCTTCAAAGATAATTCATCAAACAGCAATCAGAAAGTTACTCAAAACCCATGAATTTTGATCTGATCCTTCTTAACGAGACCAGCCTGAACAAGGAACTGAGACACGTTTTTGCGTTGATCGCCTTGAAGTTGGATTATCTTCCCCAATTCTTTGTCTTGAACAACGTTACCATTACAGCAGAATTCCTTCTTCACGTCCTTCAGGATCTTCTCGTAGCTGAACTCTTTCTTCAGACCCTGAACTGTAGTCAAGCACTTTTTGCCATTCCTCTGCTGAACGCGGATATGAACATAAGCTTTAGTTCCGGGGGCATCAGAATCCTTGGCGTCGGCGAATGGATCGAAAGCAGATGGGATCTGGAAATCTAATTCAACCATGAACTTTGTTTGGATGAAGCTTAAACCAAACTGAACAACTGCGAATCTGAAAACATATGGGATTTAGAGGAAGGCATAACAAAAACTTCAAAATTTACATATAGCCGAAAATCAAATTAGGATGAAGCTCAAACCAAACAGAACAACAGGTTATCAGACGGGATTCAGAGAAAGGCATAACAAAAACTCCGAATTATATAAATAGCCAAAAATCAAGTTAGGATGAAGCTAAAACCAAACAGAACTGGTGATCTGAAAACATACGGGATTTAGAGAGAAGCATAACAAAAACTCCAAATTTCACAAAGTTCGGATGAAGCTCAAACCAATCAGAACAACTGGTGATCTGAAAACATTCGGGATTCAGAGAAAGGCATAACAAAAACTCCAGAATTTACATATAGCCAAAAGTCGCAATATCCACCAATTCATCCATGACTTAAATGGAGACCTAAGTGATCAAAGCATGCGTCTCGTATAAAAAAACCGTTAACAACATGAAGAAAGACAAAATTCCAGCAGGATACAAACGAAGCAATATCCATAAACGAAGCAATACCAGAATCTTACCAAACAAATTAGGAATTGCGAGAAAAAACACAAAAATCAAAGAGATAAAAACAAAACCCTAACCACGATCAATCTCAGACATAAACAAACAAAAAGAAAAAAAATCCATGCTAAGGAAGAACAAAATCTACGAATTCAAAAGGAAACAGAAACTCACCAGAATGCGAAAGATCAAGAATCCACGAACGAGAACAAATAAACAAGAAAGGAAGAATGATGAGAGGAATGAGAAAATTAATCAAGGATATGGGAAGTATTTATAGAGCTTTAGGGGGGAGGGGGAAGGAGGCAAGAGTCCGTTTCCGTTTCCGTTTCCGTTTCCGTTTCCGTTCCCACCACGAATTAGCACCCGTATGATTGAGCTGGAATCTTCTGGGAGGCTGACGTGGACGGTCTGCTTTTGTTAATAATGGACGGTCAAGATAGACGCTGACGTGTAACGTATTATTGAAGGCAAAAGAATATGGTTCCAAAAGCCAAGGGCGGTGAATTAACTGACGCGTTCATTGAACGCGAACTCGACCTGGATCCGGATCTGATTTGTAACCCGACCTGACCCGATATGAATCTAGACAATACTATTAAAAAGTAGGGGTTGGGGAACGTGAAATAGAGAGCCGGGAGGTTCGGTCCAAGTGGTCAAGTGGTGACTGGTTTTTCCTGAAACAAGCCGGTTCATGTGGTGGACGGGGCCCACCCGACCCGTAGTTTAGACGGTAAATGAGGAAGGAAGTAGAGAGAAAAGCCCCGCTACCAGGAATGGGGCCCCACCCGACCCGGTTACCATGATTATATATATACACACACCTAATATTAAAATTTCAAGTTTTATTGTTCGAGTTAAACACAGAGACAATCACATCAACAATTAGATAATTTGATTATATATATATATATATACGTACGTACATAGATATGTATGTATGTATACATATATATTAGAAGCGGAAACAAGATCGATGGTGTTCATATATCTACGAACATAAATGGTAATATGCAGATAAATCAAATCGAAGAGCTTAAGTTTTGGAATGAAGGAAGTTAAGGAACAACTTACTTGTGAACAGCTTTCTGAATTTCCTTGCATCCATTCGGATCAACAAATCAATCACCCCAAGTGATTTTCTTTACATTTTTTTTATCCTTTCTGTACACTTTCAACAACTTTTTCATATTTAATGGCGTTTTACTACCCGAACAATTGGTATATCAATTGCACCTATTGGATTTAAAAGACATCTATGTTTGAACAGTCGGGTCCTATCAGTGTATAACAAAATAGATAAGAAGAGACATACTGTTGATGCTAAACCAAAACTGAGCTCGATTGAGAGGGCAGCCCCTTTGTTGGCACTTCGAGACAAAAGCACTCGTAGGAATGGTGCTAATTCCCGTGTTCTTTCGAGTCTCGTTTGGTTTCGAGAGCCTCCCCCTCCCTGTCCCTTACTTGAATTTTTTTTCCGTGCCGGAAAAAGTGTATCACCTTTCTACATTCATTCTTAGATAAATTTCTTCGGGACTCTATAAAACAGAATGAAAAGCTGAGGTAGAAGCACAAATTTCCTAGATTTTGCCCAAGTTTGCGATCGAGTTATGGGTCTCTCGTAGACCGATCATTTGAGAAGAAAAACCAAGATATTATGAACAGGATGATGATAAAAATAAACTTCAAGCAGATCATATGAAATTGTATGAAAAATATTTCACCTACTTGATTGATCTGGCAAGCGTTTGAAGCCCATCTCAACTTGGTGAATTGTCCATTGAATAGTACAATTTCGAGGCAGTATCATACAACATCATGGTACCCTCTCGCAATTGTCTCTAAGGATTAGCCCAAACTTAAGTTCACCGCTAACCGATATTGTCCTCTTTAGGTTTTCCTTTCTAGGCATTACCTCCAAATTTTAAAATACGTTTGCTAGAGAGAGATTTCACACCTTATAAATAATGCTTTGTTCCTCTCTCCCATGCTAGCACCTTATCCCTTTAGGCTTTTTCTTCCGAGCTTCCCCTCAATCTGTTTCGATCTCATCTCCACAACTGGTTCCATGTCAATGTGAACCAGCTAAGTCCAAAGTAAGAACATAAACTTAAGCAAACTATGGCTGTAAGTTCAATCAGTACAACAAAAAGAGGCGGTTTGGTTGGAGGTTTTATTGGATGGGAATGAATAAAGGCAAGCAAAACTCAGATTTGTTAACCAGTTTTCAATGACTTATTAAATGAATGTAATTACTTATATGCTAAAATTATCAAGTAATTAGCTAACAATTGTTAATTAGGATTAGTTAAATTTAGTAAAAAAATTTGTTTTTCAATAATTATAACTAATTAGTTATTCATTATTTATAGTCAAATAATTATTTCTTGGGATTAATTTTGATTAGATCCTTCATTATTAATGCATATTTTGTTCTCTTTTTCTTCCTTTTTTCTATTGTTTACTAAATACATTTCTTTATATTATTTAATTAAAACCAAATATTCTAATGTGATAAATAAATAGAAACTTACCGCTTTGATGAAATAGAAGCTTCCTCCTTGGCCCCAACAAGAAATTTCCTGTTAAAAATCACATTATGAATCATATTATGAATCATATTTACCTTGAAGATAACACGCTGGACTGCTGAAAAGATTATACTCGACAAATACCTTATTTTATGATACCATTTGTAACAGTCCAAGTCCACGATACTGTCATCTTTGGGCTTCCCCTCGAGGCTTTAGAACAGCTAGAGAGAGGTTTCCGCACCTTTATATTGGTTGGAGAGAGGTCACGCTAGCCTGCTGAAAAGATTATATTCGAAAAATACCTTATTTTGTGATACCACTTGTAACAGTCTAAGTCCACGATATTGTCTTCTTTGGGCTTCCCCTCAAGGTTTTAGATTGCGTCGGGTAGGGAAAGTTTTCACACCCTTATATTGGATGCTTCGTACCTCTCTCAAACCGATGGGGTATTTCACACACCTTTTGCACAGCCCTGTTTTCTGAAAATCGTCCTACAAAATTTCAGCTCAGCCAAGTTAATGTGCTAAGGTTACAAAATTACAAACGACAATTAATAACTGAAACCATTCGTGAAAATTTAACCATCAATCCTGCTAGAAAATAAGAGTAATTACATATTTATGTTGATGCTGCAGCTTCAAATCTTTGACAAGCTTAATCAGTACTCCCAATATCTGCTTCAAGAACTGAAATTAACCTTTGACAAAATGGATCAAATAAAATGAACTTCCTGTGATATACATTGTAATTTTCAGCCAACTTTCTGTCTGCCGAATGAAGCTCTTGCCTTTCAATTTCCTAAATGATCAAACTTGACCCGATTAATTGAAGTTTTAGTGAGAAAACAAACAAATGGGGTATAAAAAAAACATAACAAATAAAAAATTTCACGGAAAAGTCTGTTAGGAATCATGACACTCCACAATGGTATGATATTGTCCACTTTAAGCATAAGCTCTCATGGTTTTGCCTTGGGCTTCCCAAAGGCTTCATACCAATAGAGATGTATTCCTTACTTATAAACCATATATCATTCCCTAAATTAGCCAACGTGGGACTCCCTCCCAACAACAATCCTCAACAGAACTAACCAGACCTTTCTGAAAGTCAAACACTAGTGCTACGGTACCCAAATGATGACTCTACATAAATATAAGTGTTAACTACGAACTCTTCACAATGGTATGATATTGTCCACTTTGAGCATAAGCTCTCATGGCTTTACTTTTGGTTTCCCCAAAAGGCCTCATACCAATGGGAAGTATTCCTTACTTATAAACCCATGATCAACCCCTTAATTAGCCAAATGTGGGACTCCTCTCCTGACAATCCTCAACCGTAAGGTCATACGATATACATCGTATAATGAATTTCCTACTAAAAGCAAAGTCTGTAGAGTTTCATTTTGCAAGATCAAGTAGCATTAAAAGTAGGCACTCTTCACGTGGATAAATGTGGTTGAATTTTTAAGGATAAAACGCATATCAATCATTTTATCACGCAAACAAAGTAAATATCAACATTATGACACATAAAATCAAGAAAATACAACTATAGCTAGAAAACCAAAAAAATGTCATCAAACTCACATATAAAAGACATGCGTGCACAATTGTACAAAAATGGTAAGGAGCAATAGACCTACCAATATCATCCATCACAAAAGCATCAGCTACCATATCACTTTTCGTCTTCAAAAGAGCATCAATCTCACGGGAAAGGACCATTGATATTCGGCCGTATCAGTTGAGCTTACCGAAAAAACTATTATTCACAATGCTTCCAGTACTACGAGCACTAGCATAATTGGTTGAATTAGGGGTTGAGCTGATTGTGAGACCGGTGTGTGTGCTATCGTGGGAACTTCGAGATACTACACTCAACTTCTCAATCACTTCCTCTTGCTTCTTACACAACCATTCAATGTTCAAGAGTCTCATAAACCTGAGACAAGGTTTGAAAGCTATACTTATATGGACTTCAGGCTATTGCTATGATCATAAGCTTTTTCATAAAAGATTATATTCACCTCCCAAACAAAAACCTATTGAACGTCGTTTTAAGGTAAAAGCTAAGAAAGAGCAACATTGAAGCTCAATAATCCTTCCTACTCTAAACTAATAAAGGCAATATTGGCAAGTCTTTTTACAACCAACTGCAGAAGCAAAATCAGTCCAAGTATGTGTTGAATGAACACTACTCACTACACGTATGATATTGTCTACTTTGAGCATAAGTTTTCATGGCTTTGCTTTGGACTTCTCCAAAAGGCCTCATACCAATGGATGATTATAAATTCATGATCATTCCCTAAATTAGTCGATGTGGGGCTTTTCATCCAACACCTCCCCTGAACAAAGTATGTCTCCCCTTAATCAAGGTTCGACTCTTTTTTTTTCTTTTTGGAGTCTTCGAACAAAGTGTACCCTTTGTTCGATACTTTAGTCACTCTTTGACTATGCCTTCGAAGCTCACAATACTTTGTTCGACATTTGAGGATTTGTCAATCTATTGGTATGGCTAAGTTTAGGGCATGACTTTGATACCATGTTAGATGAACACTACTCTAGTATATGATAGCATAAGCTCTCATGACTTTGCTTTAGCCTTCCCCAAAAAGCCTCATACCAATGGATGATTATAAATCCATGATCATTCTTTAAATTAGCCGACGTGAGACTTTTCATCCAACAGTACGCAATCATAATCAAACCGTTAAAAATCAAGGTTATCAATACAGGTTAATTAGCTTTTTTATACCGTGGAATAGAATGGCGAATTCTTAAAGCCTAGTTGTGGATGAAGAGCCTGAACATCTCGAACTCCTCCAAGGTACGCCATCGAAACAGCCTGTTTCTTCTCTCGCCTGAAAGTTTCATAATTAGTAAAAATCAACTTCAGTAATCGGAAATGATACAAAAAACCAAACCAAAACCAAGTCCATTAAACAGTAAGGTCAATTTCTTGATCATTTGCGAACAGAAATCAAATATATCGCTCAATCCACCAACATTTCATCAGCGATCAATAAAACACACTAATCAAGTGGAAAAACAGAAAAAAAGAGAGCGAGAGAGTAAGATAGAAGGAGATGGAGTACCAATTGTAGATCGTGGGCGGCCTTAGAGACAAGAGATCCATCGGGAATCGAGTAGTAGTGGCGCTCTACCTGATCAATCACCCGCGTCACGTCCGCCGCGAAGTCTGGCCATTTTATTATATTAGTTATTTTAAATAATTAAATAGTTGATAATTAGTTTATTTTTATTAATTAAAATAAATTTAACTTTTAATTTAATTCTCATTCATCAAATTCATATTATAATTATATTCCAAATTATAAAATGCATAATAAATAATTGAAAGAAAAAAGAATAATAATGTAAAAAAAAAAAAAATTGATTTTCCTATTGACTTTTTATATTTTAATTTAAAATTTTAGATAACTAAAAATAAAAAATAAAAAATAAAAAATGATTACTAAACATGTTTATATTTACTTTTAATTAAAAAAAAAAACAAGAAATAGTAAATTTTTATTTTTATTTTTAATTAAACAATAGGGGTGTACAATCAACCCGACAACCCGGACCAACCCAATCCGAATTCGGGTTGGGTTGGATTGGATTAGCATTTCGAGTAGGATTGGATTCATTTTTTCTAAACCGAATGGAGTTAATGGGCAAAACTATCGAATTAATAAACCCTAAGTAAAAGCATAAATTTATTTTTAAAAACACAACAAAGATGAAAAAAAAAGAAAAAAAATACTACACAAAATTAAAACATTAACAGTTTAAATATAATTTAAGTCATTATAATTTTTATTTATTTATATACTTTTTTTAAAAATGTCTAAAAAGAATTAAGAAAAATATGCTTGCTAATTGCATATAGCAATATTAGGTAACTCGATCATTTTTTAAATTTGATATAAATTTGAGTAATTGTAATCTCATTTAATTTTCAAATTTTAAATTTAAATTATTAATTTTATGGTTTAAATTATTCGAGGTTAATTAATATGTATTCAAAAAAATGGATTTAACTCATCGTAACTTAAAATTCACACTTAAAAAATTTAATATGTATTTTTTAAAAATAACGACATATTTTTATGTTTATACATTAAAAAAATTTATACCTAAATAATAATTAATAAATAAAGAATCTAAATTAGTTGAATTGGTTTACATTACCGTTATTATTTAAATTCAAATTTTTGTTTTTAATAAAAATAAAATGGCTTGTAACTCCATTTCAATATATATTTTAAAATTAATTTTAGAAGAGTTAGAATAAATAATTACGAAATAAAATATTTAACTAAAAAGGTATATTTTAAAATTAAAAATAAAATCTAATTTATAAAATTTTCATTTATTTCAGAAAAAATGAAATTAAGAATTATATTGGGAAGGAAAATAAAATAAGAATTTTAATTAGAAGAAAGAAACCAGAGAAAACGACGTCGTCTTCAGAAAGCTAAACACAACGAATAACGACAGCGCCCCTTTTTCTCCTCCTTTTCTTCTCCATTTCCTTATCGCTCTTTAAAAATCACTGCAACTCTCTTCAAATTCCTCACAAAACCTCCTCCAAAAGCTTTAGATTCCACAGATTCATCTTCAATTCTAAACATGGCGGGCGGCAGAAATGGCGTAAGCAGGCAGAGCAGCGCTCTGTGGCGGTCTTTCAGAAACGGCGATTTCGAAGAAGAAGACGTCTGGGAAGTTCTCAAGGAGAAATCGAAAACGACTTCAAAAACCTCCGATGATTCGAGTTTCTTCTCCGATTCGTCGATTCTCGAATCCGCTTCCATAAATCACCTTCTTCCGTCCGCTTCCAGAATGATTCCGAGGTCGAACGGTGGCGGCAATGCTCAGATTGCTTCAAGATCGGCTCCTCGATCGATTCCGCAGTGGTTCAAACCTAACGGAAGTAAAAACCCTAGGAATTTCGCTTCGGAGCACGATGATTCTTGGAGCGATGGTGTTGCCAGTGACGGCGAAGATGAAGATGAGGAAGGATCTGATAACAGAATTCCGCCGCATGAATTGTTTGCGATGCGACGGGCTAGGGCTCAGATTTCGTCGTTCTCCGTGTTTGAAGGAATTGGAAGAACTTTGAAAGGGAGGGATCTGAGTAAAGTAAGAAACGCCGTTCTTGACAAAACTGGTTTTCTCGAATCGCAGTCTCTGAATAATCCCTTTTGGTGGGGGGTATTTTTGACATTTCAAATATTGTTCTTATTTAATTTAGTTCTTAAATTTTAATATATTCCAAATTATTATTAAAATTAGATATTAATTAGACGTTAGTGAAAAGATCTCAACAATGGTATGCTGTTCATATCGATGAAGATGTATTCTTTTACTTTTAAACCCAAATCATTTTCTAAATTGACCAATGTGGGACTCACTCAATCTCCACAATGGTATGATATTGTTCATACCAATCGAGATGTATTCTTTACTTTTAAACCCATAAACATTCTCTAAATTATTAATGTGGGACTCACTCTCAACAATCCACTGCTCGAACAAAGTATACCAGACTCACAATTCTTTGTTCAATATTTGAGAATTCTATTGTCGTTATGGCTAAGTTTAATGCATGACTCTTATACTATCATGGCTTAGTTTAGGGCATGGCTCTTATACCATCCTGGCTAAGTTTAGGGCATGACTTTAATACCATCATAGGGATCACGAATCTTCACAATGGTATGATATTGTCCACTTTGAAATTTGAGTATAAACTCTCATGACTTTGATTTGAGGTTCTCCAAAAGGTCTCGTACCAACGGAGATGTATTTCTTTACTTATAAACTCATGATCATTCTCTAAATTAGCTAACGTGGGATTCACTCCCAACAATTCTCATCAGATGACAATGTTAATAAGTCAAAACAAACAATATTTACTAGTTGTGAGCTTAAGTTGTCACAAATTGTATCAAAGTCAGGCACCGGGCAATGTGCCAGAAAGGACGCTAGGTCTCTAAGGGAGTGGATTGTGAAATCCCACATCGGTTAGAATACGTAACAAACCAAAATAAGAAAAATATTGACTTCTCTATCTCCGGACAGTGAATATCTGGTCAAGTGTAGTTAATTTAATATATTTTTATAATATGGTTGGTTAGAATCCTGAAGCACACGATTTAAAAGTTCGAACGAATAATTTGATATCTTTTTGAAAAAGAGGAAATTATTCAAAGTTGGAATGCTAGACTTTTGCAAATGGCATTGCAAGTAGCTAGTAACCATCAATCTCCTACATCTTTGTATTAAATTAAATTATATATATTTTAAACGTATAAAAATTGACCATTTATTTTTATCGTATTTAAAAAATATTCTCATTAAGAAATTTCAGAGAATCTCGATAACAAATTATTGTATTAATTATTCGAATTCTTATGAGCTACGAGATGTCCACGAGACGAGAGGGACGAGGAAGTCTTTTCCATCACTATCCCGATTAAAATTTTCATTTATATTTGCAAAAATCGGGAAGGAGAACCCCATAAGAAATGTGCATGGATTAGGTTCGCTATGGATGTTTTTTTTTTTTTTAAATAATTTCCCCGAAAAAAAGTTGTAATGCATTATTTCTATTTTACAATATAATTTTTATTAAAAACGGTAAACAAAAATCAAATTTTAATATTATAACATAGTTTTTCGCAAAAAATAAAATTAAAATTAATGTAGGATATCACCATCCACCCCCTTCGGGGGCCTCGCTAGCACTCGTTCCTTTCTCCAATCTATGTGAGACCTTCACCACATCCATTCGTTTGGGGCCAGCGTTCTTACTAACACACCGCCTCGTGTCTACACCCCTTTGAGGAACAGCGAGAAGGTTGACACATTGTCTGGTGCTTGGCTCTGATACCATTTGTAAGGACCCAAGCCCATCGCTAGCAGATATTATCCTGAAGGCTTTAAAACACGTCTCGTAATGTTATAATTAAAAAAACAAATTATATTTCATAAACTAATGAATTATAACAAATTAATATGCAAAAACTAGTTTTAAAATTTGTTAAAAAATTATATTAAAATGTGAAGCTATAATTAAATTTGTAAATTAGGTAATTAATGTTATAATTAAAAAAAAACAATGAATTTTTAAGTGCAATAAATATTAAAATTAATTCCCCAATGTTTCCATCAACATTGTCATGATCAATGAAACCAACGCATTACCTATAATTAATAAAAATTCAAAGAAAAGTAGAAAACTTTATTTTATTTTATTTTATGTTTGCCATTTCCTAAGGGTATTTAGGTCTTTTGGCGAGATGAATAATTAAAGACGAGAAAATAAAATAGGGTTTAAATCTCGTTTTGGTCTCGGGATTTTCGATAATATTTTATCTGGGTCCCTGTATTATGAAAACGTTCACTTTAGTCCCGAAACAGAGATATTTCTTTTGTTTTAGTATCTGAATTTTCTAAATATCTGTGTTTAGTCCCGACACTTTTAACCATTTTTGTCCTTGAATATTCAAACTACAAGTATTGGGTACGTTAGTTTTTGGTGAAAATAAGAACCTTGTGGGGTTAGGAGTAAAGCATCACGAGGTTGTAGGATCTCGTTGGGCGTGGAGAAACATTTGGAACCAAAATAGCTTTCTTTGGAGCTGTTTCTTGTCCCGTCCCCCCCCCCCCTCGGGACAAGATTGGCAAGCATACATACCTAGCTCAGCTATTAGACCCTCGGTTTTACTTAACTAAGCTCTGTCCAGAAACCAATCCCACGAACTTGAATGACTTGCCGAAATGAGGCAGCTAAATAATGAAAGAAAAGAATGTCGTAGTAGGGTGTAAAATTTATAATGTTACTAAAGACCGAAATGCGTTTTTTTTAAAGACCAAAATGGACATTATAAAAGTTGAGGGACGGTTATTGTTATTGTTTGAAAGTTTAGGGACCAAAATTGTGAGATCTCACATTGATTGGAAAGGAGAACGAAACATTTCTTATAAAGGTGTGGAAACCTCTCTCTCTAACATACGCGTTTTAAAAACCTTGAGGGGAAGTTCGAAAGAAAAAGCTCAAAGAGGATGATATCTGTTAGCTGTGTGTTTGGAAAAAATCTGAAAGATAAAGTCCAAAAAAGACAATAAAAGCGGTGAACTTGGACTGCTACAATAATAAAATAAATGTGAACTAACCCTGTAACATAA